GCATGAAGTTTCGCTGTCACTGTATCTTTTCACCAAATAACTTTGTTCGATTGAGGACCAATAATACAGGACGATCAAATATAAACATAAAAAATTGTTAAAATTAATGAGGTAAATAATTCAACTAAAAAATCTAAGAGAAGAACAACTGCTTAAAACAAGTGAAATGTTCACCTCAACAAAGGATTTTTCCTATTTTACAATTAGATGATTTTTTTACAGAGAGGCTTACCCTCTACAAGCCGAGGGATCATTACAGGTAGTGGGGTACATTAAGAGGCAGTTTATGCGGATATGAGATGAAGATAACGGCTAACCCTAGACTTGAACAGGTTAAGATTATAGTAATCAGGGAAACATCCTCTTGGGAGTCGATTCCACAGATCAGTGGTTCGAAGGAAAAAGCTGTTCGAGTGAAACTCCTCACCAATGGAATATGGAAGGAAGGTGGATAGTTTGCTATAATGTGAGTGGCATGGCGTGTCCTGGCTGTGAAGAGAACTGTCGGAACCAAGGAATATAGTTCGTCCTGGCATTTTCTATGGAAGTAGCGATCGAACAGTGAGAGACCTGTCACATCCTACCTGTGAGAGAGAGGTTTCAGGGTGAAAAATAGTTTGTCACCCACAAGGTCTCAGCGACGCTTTTGGACTCTATCAAAACTGGTAAGTGAGGAATGTGTAGCTTTCGTTCAAATATGACAACTGTACTCCATTTTCAGCCTGATCTTGCTCCTGGCAACGATAGAGGATTACACAATGGAGTTAGGTACTTGCTGGAGCGGTACAGGTAGCCGACCATTTTTTTTTCTTTGATCTTTAGTATGTACGAGTTCCACTTGAGGTCAATAGTGATTTTAAGGATCATTCTTAACGTCAGTATTGTCAAGCTCCAAATATTGAAATGTTACTTTTGCATTGAATTTTGGTGCCACATTTAGTCTGCTCCTGCTGCCATATCTAGAGATTCTTCGCAAAACCCAAAGATTCTGCAATTATGGCGTCTCTGTTTAAATCAATGTCCCACCGCCGTAATATAGCTTCCATATGTCTTCTCTATAAATAAATCTATAGCATTTGTTCTGATGAGCTTTGCTCTTTGGTACGTTGAATTTATGTGTTTAAGAT